GATAAGAAAATGAATGAATGTATTCTTCCTGTAGGTTGTCACATGTAGTTGTAAACCTGGCTACACAGGAGAATTTTGTGGAGAAGATTACGATGCCTGCCAAGATGATCCATGCTACCCTGGAGTTGAATGTACTGATCTGCCGCCACCTTCTGAGGTAGCTGAGTGTGGACCATGTCCAACCGGTCTTCGTGGCAATGGAACAAAATGTTTTGGTAAGAATATATATGCTCTTTTGATAGAACTGGTACGGTAACCCACCAACTAGTTAGCTCTGCTGTCATCATAGATGACAGAATGGAATTGTTCATACAGGTAATTGTCCATCATCGTTTGTCAACATTTGTTAGTGAATAGTGTTATAATAGTTTGTAAAAATGCTATTTTGTCTTTAATAATACTGATAATTTTGTATTGCATCCTTAGACATACAATCTTTCTATCAGTCTTCAGCAATAAAGTAATAAGAGAAAGATTTTATAATAGCTTAGTTTATAATTAGATAAAATAATAGTAATAGTGCCTAGTTCTTGATATCTGCCAGTTCAATTGATTTGATGCTTGATATATTTATACATGTACATTGAATGAACCAAGGTCATTGATGAATCCAAAACTTGTACTCTATTAAATGTATCTTTATCGATTATATGATCTGAACACAGGGCTTGATACACTAAATTCTTTAGTAAATGTTAACAAAGTCAAGGATATTTGTTTTGCCACTATTGCTACATTGTACGTTCACATGACAGCATATTATTGGAGCCCTAGAGCCAGAGCCAGCAAAAATGGCCATGAATACCCAAGTTCGGCTCCAATAAACCCATGGGTTGAACTCTGATAGGGATGAGCCCCAACATGGCCCAACCGTGTATACATGTATGCATCGATCCCAAAAATTGGGCTCAAATGACGCCCTCAAAATTCTTCTTCAAGTGACCTTGCATTTCAATTGTTCAAAATTCCACTCAATTTTCGGCTTGGCGAAGACGTACGCGCCCTAATATCTATTTGGCTGAGTAAAGACATACTGCGACAGATTGATAGCTCAACGAGAAACACAAAAATGATCTATGAAAGTTTGCGACAAAAACTTGAAAGAACCACTGAACAGATCGATTGGAAATGGAAGAAACTTTTTAAAGGCACTGAAGATAAAAATCATGGAAGCGGCCATGGTATGGTGACATGTTCCTACTAGGTTTAGACAACATATCACAACAGTTGAACAATTACAAAATGCTAATTTTGCATGACAATAACTTAAGCAAATAGGATGTAATAAATTTTAGCTGCCATGTTTTCTATTTATTCAATATACAAGTACTAGTACTTAAACCATAAAACCAGTGCATTGTCTTTTCTACCTCCATGGTCAGACTTAGACTTTTTTTCTTCGAGCTCAACAGCATCGTTCCATGTGATCAACAGCATCATTCCATGTGATCAACAGCATCGTTCCATGTGATCAACAGCATCATTCCATGTGATCAACAGCATCGTTCCATGTGATCAACAGCATCGTTCCATGTGATCAACAGCATCATTCCATGTGATCAACAGCATCATTCCATGTGATCAACAGCATCATTCCATGTGATCAACAGCATCATTCCATGTGATCAACAGCATCATTCCATGTGATCAACAGCATCGTTCCATGCGATCAACAGCATCATTCCATGTGATCAATAGCATCATTCCATGTGATCAACAGCATCATTCCATGTGATCAACAGCATCATTCCATGTGATCAACAGCATCATTCCATGTGATCAACAGCATCATTCCATTTGATCAACAGCACCGTTCCATGTGATCAACAGCATCGTTCCATTTTATCAACAGCATCATTCCATGTGATCAACAGCATCATTCCATGTGATCAACAGCACAAGTTTTCAGTCATGTTTTATTCATACTAATTATTTGATGGCACCTTTCCATTCAGCTCTGATCGTACTGAATTGAACTCTGGCAGATCTTGGCTCTAATTCAGCCACGACTGTGTAAATGCATTGGAGATAATCTAATGTTAATAGGGGGGGGGGGAGTAATAGTTCGGCTTCGATAGAATGCTGCCGTGTGAATAAAGCATATGTTTATATGTACTGAGCCTGCACTTAATATTGCTAGACTTTATTCTGCTGAAATAGTGGAGCTTGTCTTGAGAATGCAGAAATTGGGTTAACATTTTCATGAGTCCTTATTAGGAATTGACAATGTATTTTGTAAATATTTGTTATCAATCTGACTACTTAACCCTTTTTAATATTTGGGATCCAGGAAGCTGAATATGAGGTTAATGCAATGCTAAGTGCTTATTTATCATTTGTTAAATATTTAGTTAGTTATTTGTCCTATGAAATTCTAAGACCTTTGTTTGCTTTGTTTTTCGCACCAATATTTATTTGTATAATTTATTTATTTTGACAGTGTATTTCAATGCGCCTGGACAAATTATCCTCAAAGTATTTCATGGAAAATAATATGAACACACCAAGATAATAACAGCATACCTCCATACTGTTAGTAGAACTGAATAAGACTAATCTAAGCATAATGATTAGAAATCATACTATATATCCTGGAATATTATAATTACAGATGTTTAACAAGCAACTTTTTTTTTGAAGATTTTGACGAATGTTCGGAAGGCCGTGCTGATGATGATTCCAATACTTTCTGTGAACAAGGATGCGAAAATACGCTGTTGAGTTACCTATGTCGATGTTATGAGGGGTATCGTTTAAATGAAGACATGAAATCATGTGACGGTGAGTTCAACAAATAATTTTATACTATAACATTGTTAAATATTTTTAGCTTCTCTGTCATTGTAGGCAGATGACGTAGATGACAGAGCGGAGTTGTTCATATAGATGATTTCAGTCGTCTGTCCGTCGTCCTTCAATAATTACATTTTTTACTTCTTCTTAAAAACTACCAGCTCAATTGCTTTCATATTTGATATGTAGGTACTTTGGGTGGTCCTCTGCCAGATTTGTTCTATTCGTGGCGATATCTTCACTTTTATGTTTGTGTTTATCAAATAATTTTGTCTTTTTTGGTAAAAATAATATGTTCTTTCAGGCCGTTTGTTTTTAATGAATATTTTGTTATATCTATTTTGTTAGCAACATTGATTGTTATTAGTAATGTAAGTTTTCTTATCAACATTGTTAAATGTTATTTTTTGCTTTTCTATACTGAAGACATTGACGAATGTGACCAGGCAGAAGATAACTGTGACGACAGAGCAGAATGTATCAATACAATGGGTGGATTCAACTGTACATGTAATGTTGGATATGATGACATTATGGG